GGGTCGGCGCGACATGTAAACGTTATTTCCGTGCTCTCATGCGAAAATTATGACATTTTTCCCGTGCCCATTCACGGCATCGTTTTCCTGCTCTCTAGCAATTTCCGGGTGTACCCACGGGGCCAGTCCACGTGGCCTCGAGGACGGTCGGCGTCGTGACACCGCACGCCGGCACGTCGACGGTCCTGTTGACCGTCTCGTAAATGTAGCCTTGGCCGCAGTTTTGCCTGCGCACAAACTGGTAGGTGACGGTCTGGCCCGCGGCGTCGAGGTCGACGTCAATGGCCCAGAGCGGCCGGGCGTCGGTGTAGCCGTCGGCGGTCAGGGGCTGGGCGTTCTCGACGTTCCAGTTGCCGAGAGACGGCGCACCGCCGACGACGTAGATGTCCTCGCCGTAGTAGGTCCTGGCGTCGACACGGAAGGTGACGGGCGCAGCGCAGGGGACCTCGCCAAGGTCGGGCGCACCAGCGGCGGTGGCAGGGGCATAGGTGCCCCGCGCGGACGAGGCGGCGCAGGTCGAGGGGATGGGCAGGTTGGCAGGGACCCAAGTGGGAGGGAACTCGCCGGCGCGGCGGGCGGCGGCGGTGACAAAGGCGGCGTAGGACCAGGTCAGGTCGCGGGCGCTCTGGGGCTCGAAGGGAGGGTCACGGTTGTACTGCTCGGCGAGGGAGCCGTCGGCCGGGGTGTACTTTTGAGCGACGGCGAGGAACGAATCGCCGTAGCGGTTGGCAGCTTCGACAATGACGTTGAAGGGAGCCTTGGGGTTCTTGGAGCAGGGGCGCTTGAAGGTACCAACCTTGGCCTCGGGACAGAGATCCTGGAAGAAGGGCAGGGAGGTGCTGTCAATGGTGATGTAGCCGTGGGCCTTCCACTGGTGGGCGGCGTTGAAAAGGAACTCGCCAGCACCAAGAGTGATGAGGTACCAAGGGTTGCCGTTGTAGTAGATGTCCTCAGTGTAGCGGCCGATGGCAATGCCCTCGTTGCTGGGGATACCCTCGTTGATGGGGTATTCGGCAGGATCACGCCAGGCGTCAACCCACTGCTTGAAAGACGCCAGGGCGCGAGGGTGGCAGGGCTGAATGGTGGCACTGTCGCAGGAGGCGGCAATATCAAAGGCGGCGTTGGCGCCGAGCATGGTGTTGGCGTCCTTTCCGGAGCGCTGGGTGTTGGTGTTGATGTTGGCAATGTGGTGACGGCCGTTCCAGTAGCTGTCTGAGTTGAGGAAGCAGCCGACGGCAGGGGCCTCGTCGCAGGCGGCGCCGCACGTCGTGTTGAGGCGCTCAGCGAGCTCGGCACCCTCGATCAGAGCGCGGTACTGAGCCTGGGTGGTGAAGAAGCTGGAGCCGGAGACCTCCTCCCAGAGGTCGAAGCCGGTTGAGTTCCAGTACTGTCCAGTGTAGGCGAGATCGTTGGCAATGACGGGCCAGACGATGTCCCTCGCCTCTTCCTCGCCCTCGTCGCCCGAATCGGCGAGCCAGTTGGCCCAGGTGATGAGGGCGACGGCGCGCAGAGGAGGTCCATCCCTCTGTGGGCGACCCCAGGCGCCATTGAAGCGTGAGCCGTCAACCTCGTACTTAGCCTCGCCGAGACCGCGGCCGGAGGGCAGCAGGGCGCCGGAGGGGTTGGCGACAGTCTGGAGGATGGCCTGGGCGCGAAGGTAGTCACGAATGTGCTTCTCGAGGTTGGCGTTGGCGACAGGGTCGTGGATGAACTCGTCGATGAGCATCTTGAAGGTCAAGGCCGAGTCACGGGTCCAAGTGTAGTAGTCTAGTGGCCGAACCGTCAGCAACGAAACCTCCAAACATGGCCATCCATGGCTCCTACTTACAGGGAGGGTCGGTCTTGGAGGGGCTTGCGATGACCAGGCCGGGGGCGGCGCCGGCAGCGGCACCAAGGTTGTTGAGAACATTGGTCAGTGACAGAGGGCGCTGCTTGGCGATGAAGTCCTCGAGGTCCTGGCCAGAGACGGCGGGGATGGCCAGGGCAGCGGCCAGGGCCAGAAGCTGGGAGCGGAGAGAGACCATGATTCAGTCGGAGAGAAGGCCTTGGTTGAAGCTATGCACAATGTCTGAGAAGGAGGGAACCCACGTGGGAGTGTTTAGGGGTCATGATGATCAAGCCATCTATATATACCTACGCGAGGCACTGAAGGTGACCATTTTGGTATCCAACCTGGGGCCATGCATGTGAGGCTTCAGCTAGGGCCAGGTCGGGGCCAAGAAGTCGGGACGAAAGAACTGCCCAGGGCTCATGGCTCATGGTCCATGGTCCATGTCCGTGATCCTTGGCAAATCAACACATAATAGCGGAGCCTAGCGGAGGTGAGGTGTTCCGCCGAGGTACCGCAGAGGGTGGTTCAATTCGAAGTGCCTGGGGTTACTGTAACGGCTGCATGGTCATGGGGGCATGGCAAGCCGTGGGCCGGCGTCAACGGCCGACGCCTTGCTCCATTTGACATAAGTGGCCCAGCGCCAAGATAGTAGGCCAAAAAGATGGTACCTCGAGCGGCATGAGCATCAACACGCCGTGTTGCTAACAGACTTGTCATACTAGGCTGTACAGCACGAAGCGGTTGGTAAGAGGCTGAGCAGATGAAAGCTAACTCCCCTCAGCTGGTGTGCTCCGGAAGCCAAGACCAGGCCAGGAAGTCAGGAGAAGGCAAGCGCAGCAGGCCAGGGAACAAACAGCAGGAGTGACTTGGATGGAAAGGAAGGAGGCTGCACCACCACGGCCCGACCATGGCGTTATTGTGGGGAGGAGTCTGGCCGCGGCGCTGCGGGGGAGGAGAAGGGGAGGGGGGCTTGGGTAGCTCTCCCCTCCTGAATGCTTGTTGCCAACTGCCCCAGCTAGCGCCCTTGACGAGCCGTCTTAGCAGGTGAGGCGAGGCCTGAAGACGCTGGGCGAAGAAGCCCGTGTAGGGCTTGGACGGTGCTCCCACCTCCCTAACAAGCCTGTGCCTGTGCCTGTACCTGTGCCTACGTCATGGATACCTCTTAGCGACTGCGGGGATCCTGGGGAACCTCATCCCCCTCGCGGCCTTTTCCACCGTGGTAGCCCCCTCCCCCCCCTCATCACCACATCTTCTCCCCCATACCCCTTGCCCGCAGCTTGGCCTCCATGGTACTAAGCTCTTGGGACGACGAGCTACATCAGACGATCGCCTGCATTGACCACTCACATCACCCTCAACCTCGTGCAAATCCACGGCCATATCCCGGTCATCGTCTGCAACGGCCAAATACCGGCTCCTCCTCAATTTACCCAGCATCGGCACCAGCACCAGCACCAAACGAGAAAGCTCTCCCAGGACGGGAGGGAGAGAGAAAATAGAAAAAAACTCCCCAGAATCTGCATGTGACCTCAATCGTCCCCAGCTTCAAAGCCCCCGAGCAATTCCCCGGCCATGTGTGCGCCCACCTTCCCCCTGAGGGAACCAATCTCTCACGGCCTCTTTCTGCCCACGAGCTAACGTAGTGACCAGCCTCCACTGGTGCACGCAACTTGACGAACAGTCACTTGTCCTTGCCGGCCATTTCTTCACCCGTTCATCTGATCGTGTGGCGCACGAGAAAGATTCCTATTGAGGCTGCAATCTAAGCGCAGTGATGCAAGAACAGACGACGATCTCCTCCTACGCTCTGACATAGACGACATTGCCACCAGGTTTCCTTAGCTCCTAATCCAGAGCCATCATGTTGGAACCGGCCAGCAGCAATCATCCACCGTATCCTGCTTTGTCTCCCACCGAACCCAAAACTGTCTGCAATTTCATATCCTAGTACCATTCGGCTCCTTTCCGATTCTTTGCCCCGTCAGGCATGCTATGCTGGGTCGAGAGAGCCGTTGCCATCGAAGGCTGCCCAGGATTCCACCCAAGCTAACGCAAAAGAAGGGAGAAACAGCCTGGACTGGTCGGAGCCCCTCAATGACAGGGGCAAGAGCAGACCAGCCAGGTCGACCAGAAGACTTTTGCCCGACATGCTGTGAAGCAGAACATTCAGAAAACACTAGCCCGCATCGAAAGAGCCAAGAAGAAGACATGACAGACAGAGCAGAAAAGAAAACAAGACGAAGGGGGGAAAGGGGGAGTGTGAGCTCGATGCAGACTTCTCCTTAGCACTCATGGGCCACGACCAACAACCTTGACCATCAGGTTCGACTGAATGAAAATACCAGCTGAGTATGACTTCATCGGCTCAATGGGGTCGATCAGCGAAAAGTCAAAGCGACGAAGAAGCTGCAACACATCGTCAGCATATCATCGTTTCTGTAAGTCCCCACCGATCATGTGCGAACCAACCTCGACGAAGATCTTGTTCAGATCAAGCAGTGCCACAGTCTTGCCGAGACACTGCCACTTTCCGTATTTGAACACCAGCTCCCATTGCGCTGTCATCGCCTTGAGCTCCTCGTCACCCGCCTCCAGCCAACGCTCTGGTCTGAACGTGTCGGCATCTGGGCCGAAGACAGCCTTGCTGCGGAGCACTCCGAAGGCTGACCATCCGATCTGCGTGCCCTCCGGGATGCTCATACCGTGCATGACATCGCCTCCACGTGGTACTGCTACCGACATGAGGCCCGTGACGGGTGGGAATACACGGAGGCCCTCACGGATGGTGGCCTGAAGATAGGGAAGCCTTCGCGCCTCGGCGTCCTGGACAGGTACTGATAGGAGACTTCTGTCACATGCGTCGCGTACCTCCTTGGCGAGGGCATTGTAGGCTGTGGGCGTCGTCATGAGATAGACCATGGTCATGCGCATGGCTGTGGCGGTTGTGTCCGAGCCGGCGAGAACCTGTACAAGTGCCTCACCCTCAGCTTCCTCAGGGGTAAGCCCATGGGCTAGGAACGAGCCGAGCATGTCCCTTTGAACCTTGCCGGAGGAATGCGCTCAGCAACTACCTTCTTGGCCACGCTGTTGTTTCAGGGTCAGCATCGTTTGTCTACTTTTAGCCTTGGAGGCAGAATGGAAAGGAGGCCAAACCTACGCTATGAATTTGCCCAGACCCACACGGTCGTGCTCCGAGGGCATGGCACGTCGAAAGAAGGGAGATTGCATAATAGCGGCTAGGCTGGGCAATACTGACAAGGTCATCATGACGGGCATGCTCTCTTCGGTGATTTGGATGTAGTTGTGCACGTCCTTGTCTTGCGAGAGGTAGCCAAAACACTCGCCAAAGGCCAGCGATGTGATGATGTCGAGGGTCAGGTACTGCATCTTGCTCGCAAAGTCCATGGGACGGAAGACACCAGACGTCGAAAGGTACCGTTCCTCGATCAACCGTACCAACGACAGCATCTGCACGTCGATGGCTGTCTCTAGGAACTCGTTCTCTTTGCCCGAATACTAGGAAATGATCAGTCATATTGCTGAGAGGGTAGGCAGTCGCCCTTGACGAGCAAAGCAACGCAGAATGGGAAATAGAGAAGACCCGGTGTCCAACAGTACAGGGGCGGTACTAACGCCAATGGCCACTTTGGCACGGAGTTCGTTGTGTGCATGATCGTCGCGCATGGAAATGATGTTGTCCTTGGTCGGGTCGAGCCTGATAGCGTCGTAAAAGTCGCCCTTGCGGTATGGCGAGCGTACCGCCCACATGCGGCGCAAGATCTCCGAGTCATTGGTTACCAAGTCGTTGGGACCGATGCGGACGACCGGACCTACGGCCAGATGGCGCACCCCTTGTGGTCAGCCTGGCGAAAGCGATGAAGCAAAGCGAAACAAAGAGGAGCCTGTCATCCCCCCCCCCTATACTGTAGATGTGTTGATATTGGGTGCGGCCTCCTTCCCCCTGCTGGACACCTCTGGGCCATACTGGGCAGCAACTACAGCGTTCGTGTCCGTGGTCCTTTGCCCAATCTCCATCGTCCCAGGCGGGAGTTTCCTCTTCCACTTTCCTCTTACTTGATCTGGTTGACATACCGTATTCATCACAGGCTCGCTTCAGCGCAAGATGCATCTTCCCACTCAGTGTGTTACGTAGCATCCACCATTTGCTGAAGGCAGCCCATCGTGGCCCGGGAATGTGTCTGAGGCGGTACCAGGCCCAGTAAACATGTGCGAGGAGGGACAGTAGCATGCCTGCGCCGACGAGCAGCGACAAGGTCAACAAGTGCGGGCCTGGGACAGCCGTACCGGAGAACGCCATAGTGCTAGGAGTGTGTCTTTCCTGCCGGCAAATACCGCCCTGTCTCGTCTAGTATCGTCTTGCTTGTCTCTTTTGTCTTATCTCTCCGGTAGCTGTAGACCGTTTATATGCCGTGAGCGCAAAGGTTGTTGGTGGTGGCGGCTCCGAGCTGTCGCTCGCAAATGTTTGCTGCCCCGTGGCGGGGGACAGAGATGTCTTGTGTAGGTGTTCGTAGGGAAAGATCAGGGTTGAATGAGGAGGTAGCATAGGCCAAGGTGTCATGAAGACCTGGATCACGAGTTGAAGCGTGTGGGCGGGGGAGGGAAAAGAGACAGTAAAAGTACGCAGCCTTCAGAGAATCGGGTAGGCTCTTTCTCTGCGCGTGCCCTACTCTTGTTGCCAACACAGGCAAGGCGAGGTGAATGTGAGGGAGACGCCTTATTGGCATTAAGGTATTCTCCTGAGCCGGGCAGGAGCGGAACCGTACGACCCGGCGATGCCTCGATTGGCAGAGGCTGCCCTGGTGTCAAGGTACCTAGGTAGGCAGGGAAGGTAGACCAAGGTAGAAGAAGATTAAATCCTGGTCAAATTTGATATTGAAGAGATCATTCAGGATGTGAAGAATGGCCGACTAGCAACAAAGTGCTCAGGAAGCCGCGTACGTGACTGGCTATCTTAACCCTCTTCTGCAGAAGGAGCAACATCATTTACAACGCGCCTGCACCTGACAAGCTGGGCCAGAATCGACCAGCCGAGATGGTTACCAAGCAGACGGGAACCGCAGAAGGAAGAGCCCCCAACCGAAGGTGTGCCTGAAGTTATCGATCCAAGGTCGCCATTTCCTTGGCTCAAACAACATACCCAACTCGTTGAAAAGTTGACTCCAAGGGATGTCCAATCAGTCCGGCAGCTGGAACACTCTCGACCCAACACGTCAAGCCCTTACTGACTGGCCTGGGATCGACCGGTAATAGGCTCAGGATTGCATCAGAGAAAAACCATGCCGTTCCGAAGTTGATGCAACATCGACAGCCTGCCCATGCACACAGCCAACGGCCTGTCTCGTCTGCCACCATCACGACACTTTGACTGCTTGGGAGACGAGAAAATACACCCGAGGACGGCCAGTCCTACGATGGATGATAGGCCTAGACTCCATGTGCTGTGACTCTCGACGTGAGAATCCGAGCTCCAGTGGGTGCGGTTGCTCTGCAGATAACTACACGAGCGTGCATTTTTCATACAAGTATCGGCAGTAGCTGCATAGTCCCATGTTTGCTAGCCAGCCCGCATCATTCGGCAAGCCGGCGAATGGTCCAACGGCAAGGGGCCACAGCGTCCATGCTGCAGCTGGGTGGGAGCTTTTCTCGTTACATCCACAGCAGGCATGTCAAGGCTCTCCGAACCAGATGCCGTGCTGCATAATCTCTACCATGGTAGGCCAACGCAGCAAGCAGTAGCGTCGGTGACAATGACCACCAACAGCACCAGCTCGGCCTTCCTTTGCTGTCGTCAGATTTTATGATATGCAACAACCCGGACCTGATCCAATCGACGCGCAATCACGCTGCTGCACCGAGTTGGGCTCTAGTGCGAGTCGGAAGCCGTACTGGTCCCTTCATTGCTTCCGTTGGCAAACAATACCCGCCGTTGGCGGTGGCGACGGCAGATCCCTGGACAGCCTGGTGCTGGCCACCTTGACCATTCGACTGCGGAATTATAGAGGAAGGCGAAACTCAAGTGGCTGTCGACGTGCTAGACACGGTCTAGGACAGCAAATTCAGACGACATCACGTTCCGAAAGGCGTTCTCATCCGCATGCTTGACAGGTGGCATGACGCCCAACAGATAGAAAGGCTGCCTGCATACGACGCATTTTCCTGGTTCATCCCGAGCGACAGCAGAATGCTGCCACCTTGTGCGACCTCCAGCCGAACCTTCTCACACCTTCCCACCCAGCTATCCTTTCCGCACCTTCTTCTCCCTTCTCCAAGTTGCCAAAGTGACACAGCAACTTGCTCGTCAGTTTGTGTGGCCCATCCCCTTCCCTGCCTGTCTCGCCTGTCTTGCCTAATCTTCACTCCAAATGGTTCAACATGGCAATGACTTGCCACAGACTGGCCACAGCAGCTGCTTCGTACCCTCGACGGCGCGAAGAGGCCGTCTTGAACATGGTATGATCGCACCGGATTGAGGTACGGTCGGAAGTACATTTGAAGACTCAAATATCGGCCTAGTTTTCCCTTTCCTGAATATTTCGTCCTGATTTGCTGGTGACTGCTCGACTGCATCCTGCCCCGGCCGCGATTCGACTATTCCAGGGTCAAATGTACGCTGCTGCAACCGACAGGTACCGCTTATCTAGCAGTCCAGTAGTCGATCCGGCCCTAGCGAGACTGCGAACCAGCCAAACCAGCCATGGATCTGGATGAGTCTCTGCCGGAGAACGAGGCCTCTATGGACAACGTCCGCCCGTCCAGGGCAGATGCTATCTATTTGAATTTGGAGCCAGATGAGGTGGGAGACGGCGCCACGGCTCTGCTGACCTTATGACTTTGGCCTGTCCACTGATACCGGGACACAGAATATTGATGCGCAGGATGTGAACAGCATCCTCGACAATAGCGATGTCGATTCGGCCTTGGGCGATGTCAGTGTGATACTCTTGTACATTCGTATCTGGATCATCCTTGGTAAGCTAACAATCTAGTCGGAAACATGGCCATCGTCGACGGCTTCCTTAAGGTCGAGCATCGTCCGCGCAAGAGAAGAGAATGGCCGCATATATCACGGCTACAAGGATGGCAAGTATGTATTGCCTACGGATCAGGTAAGGATTTGGCGATGCCAGCCATCATAGTAAAAGACCTGTTGGCACACACATCTATACTGTGGGTGTAGCTAACATGGCGGCCAGGAGGAGCTCGACCGGCAAAGTATGGAAAATTTCTCAAGGTCATGGACCGTTGGCCAATTCTCTGACCAAAACTGAAGCATTCCAATACCAATTGTGCCAGCTCACATTCGACAATCGGCTGAGCTTTGCCCCGATATGTCGGCCGCACCGGGTCCTGGATGTGGGATGTGGAGTTGGTGGGTAGCCATGCTTTGCCAAGAATACATAACGCTGCGTTGAGATTGACACCTGACCAGGGATATGGGCTTTGGACTTTGGTACGTGTCTTCGAGGACGTTCGGAGACCTTCGCTCACAGAGGGATAGGCGAAGAACACCCAGAGTCGGAAGTAATAGGCGTGGATTTGTCTCCCGTGCAGCCCGGTTTGTGCGTGCACCAGCGCGCCCTCGGCGGCTATGATACTGACTGCATCAGTACACCACCCAATGTCCATTACGAAATCGACGACCTGGAAGAGGAGTGGAGCTTCTCCAGAAATTTCGATTACATTCATTCCATGATGATGACAGGTGCCTTTCGGGACTGGCCCAACTTTTATCGGCAAGCCTTTGAGTGAGTTGTGCAATCCAACGGTTAGACGACGAAATTGACATCATCTCAGGAACCTCAATCCTGGCGGCTGGGTTGAATGTCAGGACATCAATTTTCCGATGAAATGTGACGATGACACTATTGCTCCACAGTCAGATCTTGGTCGGTGGAACGAGCTGATGATGGAGGCTGGCACTCTCTCGGGTTTCCGACTCGATCTATGCGACAGGGCGGCGGAAATGATGTCGGCAGCGGGTTTCGTCGACATTGTTCGAATACCGTACAAGTGGCCGATTAATCAATGGCCAAAAGATGTCAGATATAAGACATTGGGCGAGTGGACTGAAGCCAATTTCGTCTTTGGTCTCGAGTCGATCATGCTCGCGCTGTTCACGCGTTTCCTGGGCTGGAAAAAGGAAGAAGTCTGGGAATTCATCGCAAGGGTGATTGCTGAGTGGAGGGACCTCAGGAACCATGGCTACTTCGAGATTTATGTGACGTATGGCAGGAAACCATAGGACAAGAAGAGAGCTTCCAGACGATGGCTGGGATGGCGTGATTTGTGGATGGCGCAAGTAGTTCGTGGTATCCAAGGTTCTCTCAGAAGCATTGCCCATGGATACCCCCAAACGTCGGCAAAGCGGCATACAAACATGCGACGGTTCGGCAGCGCTCGGCCCAGGTGACAGACAGTGTGTTCATGTCCACCCAGACGCGAAATGCCGTACGCTGTGCGTCCCCAGCATGTAATTTGCGGCCGAGTGGACTCTCTTCAGACGGTGAGGCGTTGGAGTTCTGGCTACATCTAGCCCGCCCGCAGCCGTTCAGACCCCGGCAGATGAAGGCTGTCGCCGCCCACCGCGCCACTATCAACTGCCGCTCTTCGCCCGTTCAGTGCGTCCTCGCATGTGTCTGTCGGAAGGCGTCGGTACACAATCGCCGGTGAGGGTGGCGTCAGAAAGACACCCGACTGGTAGCTGTGAAGGGAATCAGCAGCGCCGTTCTGAGCAGTTGGCACTTTTGGAGCAGAGCACGCACAGGGCGGCGGGAGGGGTCCGTTTCGTCCGTCATGTGTACGGCTTTTGTGCCCACACTGAGTACCACGGAAGGTAGGCGTGAATTCCAGGGTCTTCGAAGGCTTTTCTGATCTCGTGCTCCAAGACCTCAGCCTCCTGTTTCGACTGGAGGCCCATCTCCGGCCACTTGACGAGCACGGCACGCACCAGTTGCCAGAGAACGTGCTTGCTCATGAAGAGACCGATCTCGCGGCGCTTTCTATCCTTGGCCCACGCTCCGATGGGCATCTTGTGCCGGCGTACGTGGATATGCGTGAAGCCGATGCGCTCGAGATCTTCATGAATGGTGGACATGATGCCAAGACTGCATCGGTGAGCGGGACCGAACATGTTGACGAAGCGATCCATGAAATGGAGCATTGGGTGGTTTGACGGCATGGTGTCATCGTCACAAAAGATGTTGGATCCAACATCCTGAAGCTCAACCCAGCCCCCCGGGTTGAGGTGTCTGATTTTCCCTGGTTAGCCGGACGCTCATGGTTTACGTGGTTCGTTGAGGGCAGTGGCTGGAGGGGTTTTCGTGCATACTTGAACGTCGATTCCAGCACGCCCACTGGATCAGACAAGATGACTGTGACGGATCGAAGGTGAACAAAGTCAAGGTTGGCATATGGAGGGTCCCAGGTGGTGTTCTGAATGTCGTCTATCCTCCATATGACATTGTGCGGTATGCAGCTCGTCTGGATCGGCGTGATGTCGACGCCGATGACCTGGGCACTGGGAAACTTATCGGCCACTGTCATTGTCATGTCAGCACGTACCCATGCCTCCGAGAGGGCTCACCAGGCAGCTGTACCGTCAATGGCCCATAAGCCGACGCCTGTCCCGATGTCGAGGATCCTTTGCGGGTGATCGCCGATGGGGGCGAGGTAGTCATTGCCGTCAAAGAGTCTCTTGATCATCTGGTGCTTCATCTCCTCTCGCTCTTGCTCGATGTCGTCGTTGGGGATGGGGTACTCGCCCGGCCGGAAGGACTGGTAGCGCCTGAGCAGAGTGCTCGTCCAGTAAACCCCCACCTGCCGATGGGGGAGCACAAGCGTACCCCGATGAGGCGCGCCGTCACGGGGGGTGGGGATGAAGGAGGGGCAAGACGCCACCGGCCCTTCTTGATGGGAGTGACGCAGGACGTAGGAGGCCAGCGAGGTGAAACCGGAGGTCCCCGAGTGACGTCCCATAGTCGGAAAAGCCGGTGAAAGTCGTGGTCCTCGAGCATGTCGAGGGGCGCAGGCTCAATGGGCTCGCTGTCATTGTCATACCCACTGGAACCCGACTCCATGGCTACAGGACGGGGGCTCACAGGCCGGTTGCAGCAACGAGGCCTCTTGTCACCTTTTGGAGGGCGTTGGACTCGCGCGAGGCTCGCCCCCTTTCTCCTACCTAGGTACGCAGCCGTGGACCTGATACGGCGGCAGACCGCGCTTGAAGGCTCACCCAACTCACTAGATGAAAACGGCAGGGATCAGTCAGGCGGATGGCAAGTCTGTCAAGGTTCTCGGGGGTGGTGGAGAAGCTGTCAAATGCTAGCGTAGCGTTCGTTTGAGCTCCATCATTCGCGTGGCCAGAAAAAAAAAACCACACTCCCGGCGCACGACGACTGTCGCGCGGGCAGTGTGTCGTGCCGAAAGGCAAAAAGACGGCGCCAAGGGGAGATGGTCCAGGAGCCCGGATTTCGGGCTTTCGGCGTTGACAAATCATGGAGAAAAAGCAATAAGGTAAAAAGATACTTACAGTAGGTATATGACAGCGCCCGGGGGACTGGTTCCGTCCAAGGCTCATGCTCAGGTCGTTCATGCAGGGAGAAATGTCAGTATCAGTTGTCAGTTGTCACTGGCGAGTGGTGGGCTGCTGCGGGACCAAGGTAGTATTACTACTACTGCTGCTGGCAAGCATGTCAAGGATGGCGATCGTCGGTAGCGAGGGCCTTGCTTGGCTTTCGGATGGATCACGTCGTCTCCCCGCCACCTGCCGCCAGCCTCCGAAGCTTTTATTCACGGTCAGAAAAGGCGAATCGCAGGAGTGCAGCATGCGATGCCGGGTGACGTGTACGAACCGGGATCGGAGCAGGCGTCAATGGTCCTTAGGTTTCTCCTGTTTCTCCTGTTTCTCCCTGTGAGGCCAGGAGGTAAAAGCGGGAGCAGGAGAAGAGGGATTGGCACAAATTTGATGGATGGCTCTGGACGTCTTACCGTGAGCCTAGCACTGGAAAAGGAAGGAAAGATTCGCGCATGCCTAGGGGCGTGGCAGATCCCCTCAGCTCGCTGAGCCGGTACTCGGCCGGTGCTGGGCTGGTATCGTAGTGCAGTGCGCTGTCAGGAGCTGCCCCTGTGGAGTTACTAACCATGTACCTACCTACCTAGGTACCTAGACATGTACCTACCTACCTAGGTACCTAGGTGAGGTACCTTAGAAGCAGCCATGGGCTGTGCCTGCCGCCACGCTCCCAGAGACCTGATGCCGGCCAGCGCGCCTTGTTGGCAGGCTGTCTCAGTGGCCGGTCGTGCTGTAGTCAGCATCGACGTCTTGCATGGCGACTACCTACCGTACCTTACCTAGGTACCTACCTACCTAGGTATACCTAGGTGCCTAAGGTACCTAAGGTAAGGTACCTAAGCATCCCGAACCTCGTATTGCTTTCCTAACCTGTCTTTGTGCCTTGCTCAATCACCTGAAGCCGCGCCTGAAAGCCGGTGGAATCTCCCTGCGCGTACTCTGAACATGCTTCAGTATGGCACTAGGAGGTTCAGATGAGACTCTTTGCTAGAGTGAACCGTGCTCTGACACTAGCCGGCCATGCCTGGCACCAAGTAACTACGAGAGCGTTGGCGGGACATAGCCTTGTGCCCATGTCCCATAGATAGCTTGCTCATAAGCTCAAGGTATGGACAGGCTGTAAGTGAATACGTCAGGACAGACATGTACGGCTCTGTCTTTGATTACCTTTGACCTGCCTAACAGATGCAATGGCATCTAAATTTTATGTCCTTCAGAGTGTGGCTTTGGCGTCGAATGCATCGCCCGCAAGAGGGCTGCCCTATGGGGTTCCGAGGCAACGGCTCATGCGCGAGGTCATCTCTACGTTCCCCCCCACCCCTAGGAAGATCTCGGGTAGGATTCATCACGATCGCAGACGCAATGGCTACCATGGCATCTTAAAGATATGGGGGGCATCGAGAGACAGTGCCATGTTGTGGAATGCACCGCCAAATACACGGTGCGGCTCCAGTCCCCAGCCAACGGTACGTACCTTGCTCGTCGTGCTGGTCCTGGCGCATCACTAGCACTTGTCGCGTCAAAACCAATGAAGCAAACCGCGTCGAGCGCGACTGTGGGTCTCTCACAACACCACTTTCGAGTTCCCGGTCCTGTAGTGACTTTCACACCCTACCGTGCTATACCTTACTCTGCCTATCCTCTCCACCAACATCCCACTACACACGTCCGCAAACCACTGCCGTAGAACTTTATTTCTTTTGATCACTACCACCGTCGGTCTGTCGAGACGAACTTCTACCTCGGGTCTTGACCCCTACCAGCGTTGTGTGTTCCTTGAGTATCCGCTCGGACCGACCACCACCGGCACAGCACGACTCGGTTCCGCTGAAGCCACACGCCATTGACAGCGCAACTCGATCTCTGCTCCTTCGAAACCAGTTCAGAAACGAGACCGCTCAACTACTTCGATCCATGAGTCCGCAAACGTGACGGCCGAGGCAACGCGTCTAGATCTTTCTAGCCATGTATCTACCGCGCTCCCTCATATCGAAACTCTACCTCCACCTCCAGAATACCCGACACCCTCTCTCGCCTCCTGTCCTCATTCTTGTCGCCCTCGAGCCCGACGCACTCTGTGCCTGCCGTATTCTTACTCGACTGCTGAAGCACGACTATATCCCCCACAAGATCCAACCCATCTCCGGCTATGCTGACCTTGAACGGGCCGGCAGGGACCTGGTCCTGCCCATGATGGAGTCCAATGGCGGCAGCGGCGGTGTCGTTGTCAGTCTCGGCGTGGGCGGCATGGTTGATTTGGGTTCTCTGCTTGGCCTGGAACCCGAGGGCGACGAAGCGACCTTCTCCGGCGTCGAGGTCTGGGTCATCGACTCGCACCGGCCGTGGAACCTGGGCAACGTCTTCGGCGGCTTTCCCTTGGAAGCGACTGACGACGACACAGTCCCGCTGTCAACGAGGTGTCCCAATGGTGTCAAGGCAGGCCGCATCGACCGGACATATACCCCTGGCAAGGGCGGTATCGTGGTCCTCGACGATGGAGATATCGAAGACAGCCTGGCAACGGAGCGAGATGCCTACATCGCCCTCCTTGACATGCCAGACGTGGAAGATGACGGGGAGGAATTGGGTGAGAGTGATGATGGAGAAGACGAAGACCTATTTTCTGAAGAGTCTGCTCGCACAGGGCAAAAGAGAAAAAGCTGGTCAGATCGAGAGGAGGAAATGTCGAGTGACGAGGACGACCGCCCAGCTCAACGGAGGCGAAGTAATTCTGTAAGTGGGACAAGAACTTGGCGAACTGGCACACGGAACTGACACCACCCCACAGTCTACATCCATACCATCGCCCTCAAGACCCCCCCAAAGAGGACTCCTGTCCATCAGAGACCAGGATAGCGTCATGCCGAGCGACCCCCCTTCAGCGGCACAGGCCCCCTCTGCAAGGGCACTCCGTCGAAGGCTCCTCAGACTGCGGAGGGAGAACGAGCGCGTCCTGCGGAAATACTACAAAATCGGTGCCTCGTTCTCTGAGCCAATATCTTCCATGATGTACTCGCTCGCCTCGGAGCTGGGCCGCGAAGATAACGACCTTCTTTGGCTCAGTATTGTTGGCGTCACATCAATGGAGCTATACGGCCGATCATCGGCAGGCATCGCCGTGCCCGTTCGCAGCTCGGACCGTGGCCAGGGTACCGGCTGGATGGGTGTTCGCGGCGCCCGCATCCGCCAGCTACTGCGTGACGAAGTGCGTCGACTCAACCCACCAGAAGTGGGCAGTCGCAATGCCGTGGAAAATACGGGGGTCATTCCGACCACGGCGCGAAGCCCAGAGGACATGTCCATCAGGTTATCACCGGAGCCCAAGTTCCTCCTCATTCGGCACTGGAGCCTCTACGACAGCATGCTGCACTCTCCCTATCTGTTCTCTCGTCTCAAGACATGGAGCGATACGGGCATGAAGAGGCTGCACAAGCTACTTGCCAAGATGGGCGTCAGCTTGGTCCAGTGTAAGCAGAGCTATGCGCACATGGACATGATGCTCAAGCGGGAACTTCGCACCAAGCTGCTCAAATACGCCTCATTATACAATCTGGACGACATGGTCCCGTCGGTGGATACGGATGGTAAAGATCGCGCAGGTGCCAAGGACGGCTGGGGTTTCGTCAGGAGTTGGGGCTGGCGAGCCACGCTGAGTGCGCAGGATGTCGGTGTCGTCATTGGTGCCATTCTCGAGGTTGGGAAGCAGGGAGAGGAAGCGGCCAAGCCTGCCATTGAGCCGATGCAAGACGCCGATGTGGACGACACCGAGGCACAAGGCGATGAGTGGATCGCGCGGTTCTGGTCCGCCTACGATGCCCTCGAAAAGTAAGTCTGACCATGGCGAACAAAATCAGTCTGATCCTCTGACTTACGCAACCCGCAGCATCGACGCACTCAAGGCCGGCCTCCCTACAGCTCAGCTGCTCCACCGCGCCATCTACCGCACCGGCACCTCCATAATCAACAAGAAGCAGATCAAGCACCTGCGCGCCTTCCGCATGTGCGTCGTCAAAGATGGCCCCGACGTGCCCCTATTCACACACCCCGCTGCCCTCACCAAGCTCGCCCTCTGGGTTGGCGAGGCGCTCGTCGAGCAGGAAAAGGACACGACGGGCCGCCTCTCGCACGGTGGCCGAGGCACACCCCTTGTCGTGGCGTCCCTCAACGAGAAGCGCGGTGTCTACGTCGTCGTCGGCACTGGTGGTGGCGGCGGGCCAGACACGACCTTCCTTGATCGCGAGGCCGCGAAGAAGCGCCAGGCGGCGAAAGACGAGAAGGCAAAAAAGAGGGAAGAGTCGCGGGCGGCCAAGGCTAAGATCAAGGAGGAGAAGCGTGCGGCACGGCAGGCAGAAGGAGACGAGGATGAGCTGGACGACGAGCTCGACACGGAGTCTGAGGCGTCCGACTCTGAGTCGGACGAAGAGGACATTGACGAAGACAAGGTCCAGGAACGGGGCTACGGTCTGAACAAGTTCGGGTCGGCGTTTCAGGAAGTCGTGGCGGAGACGAGCGCCCGGGTGCGCATTGACAGTTTCGAGCACTGCGTTGTCGAGGTGCGCAAGGAGGATCTCGGTGGATTTTTGGAGAGCCTCAGCATGAAGGCCGTTGTTGGTTGAACATGGGGGAGGAGGGTGTCGTCATGAATGAAGGCGTTTTGTTCTTTCGCAATGAGTGCTAGGGAGGGAATCAGGACAGGTGGAGGCACTCGTTTTACGGACTCCTGCACTTTCTGGATGGTCATGAGGCATATGGCGTGCGAATAGCTAGTTTAACACTGATATACTGTTTCCTGTGCGTGCTGAGGTCAACGCCAGTGATGTCGAATGCAGGTCGGTGGCGTAGCTTCGAAGGATGGTGGTTTGAGAACACCTCAGAGACACGGCCTTGAACGATCAAAAGGCAGAAGGCCGCCCTGTACCGTTCATGATGGAGGAGATGCCAAAGAAGAAACACTCTTGGTTCGGTGATCTCAGGTACTTGAGACATACATATCCAGTCTCGTGGCGGCGGAACTGCAGTTGATGCCTAGACCCAAGCGCCTCACCACAGAGCACCGCATCGCGACAGCGTTTTCCATGTTGCCCGCCAAGCAGATACGCGTATGTTTAATGTATTGTATGCACCCTACGCATCCTATGCACGTACATGCTCCAATCACCCCCTAAAACTGAGAGGTCTCGACATTGAGGCTGCCACAACTCAGTGTCCGACGTGGCGCGCCAGCAACCGTTCTCTGCGAATCAGGTGCATAGAAATGTCAGCAAGGCAAGGCTCCTACTCCCAGTATCGGCCCGGTGGGGGGATTGACCATGGATCTATGTAATATTGAGACGCTGTCGCGCCTCTGTTGGTGTTAAGCTGTAATTTCGCCCACTCTGAATGGCTAGCCCTGTCTACTGCCTCTTTAAGGATTTGTGACCCAAAAAGTCTCTTTGAAAGGCCACAGTAGGTTCAGCATGGAGCCTATATCATTAGAAGCCTCAGGAATGGAGATCATGGACGATAGGCGGTATTCGAGCCGCCAGGCTTGCAGCCGTTGCTACTGCCTACATCATGTGGTCGATATGGCGCCAGGCCGTTATTCTCATGGCTGCTGGACAGGTTCTCCCTCAGTCCCTCGATCCCGATGATTGAATCCCAGGCCAGGGTAGAGAACAGGGGTTTCGGCCCAGGCATAGCCCTACAGCCCGCAGGTAAGCACAGCAGCTGTCAGCACTAAGCCATCGTCAGGGGCCAGCGGCTCGAAGCTGACCAACGGCCGCGCAGATGTCGTAGAGATGCATGTACGAATTCCCATGTAGGGTCATGCCAACGATGAGAGGGGCGGTCGACGCGCTGCGAGATGATAAAGAGACGAGTGCTGCGCTTTTGTCGGTCGTTTCGGTCACTTCCATTTCCATACCTTGGCACTCTCCTTTCCCTTGCCGTACGCAAAAACAGGTCTCGAGCATCGAGACCTTCTGCTTCATCGCTGCCGCTGTTGCTCGCACAGCAATTGAGTTTTCGACCACACAGCCGAAGAATATGGTGACGAGCCAGAAACCATGGGCAGATGGCCCTTTCCCGCTCGTCAGCAATTCAAAGCTCAAGCTCGAGGTGTGCCTGTGACGGTCGCCGACAGAGAATGGCAGAATACTAACAGGCCCAACCCCGTGAACAGGATGGAGAGAAAGCCCAAGGCGCCAAGGAGATGGCTATGGAGATGATCATCGTTCACAATATCCTGCTGCGCATCATCAACTCGATCTACCTCCAGTGCATCAACGTGGGCGTCAGAGGCACCCAGCAGGACATCAACGACTTTGTCCAGTATGCCAGGCTCTGGCACAAGGGCGTGACGCATCACCACCATACGGAGGAGACGATGATTTTCCCTGACATCGAGAGGATGGCGGGCGTGCCCGGGTTGATGGAGGCCAACGTCGCACAGCACGAGGCATTCCACGACGGCATGGAATCGTACAAGTCGTATCTCGAAAGAGTCAGCGCTGGGGAGGAAAAGTATGACGGCCTCAAGTTCAAGCAGATCATCGACTCTTTCGCAGACGTGCTGCACCAACATCTCACAGATGAGATCGATACGCTGGTGAAGTTGCATGAGGAACACGCGGACAAGGCCGAGTGGGGTGTGTGGTACAAGAAGACGATGGATGAGATCCTGAAGGCGACTAAGGACCCAGAGCACGCGGTAAGCCGTCGTCTTGGACTCGCGTCTGCTCTCTCGTGCCGGCGCGCTAATGTCATGAACAGACAACCGTTGTCCCCCTCATCTTCACGAATCACGAGAAGGGATTTGAGAATGGGTTTTCCGCAAGCTGGCCTCCGCTGCCTTGGTTCTTCATGTTGATCGTCAAGTGGTGGTTCATACCGACGAACAAGCAATGGTGGCGATTCTCGGCGTGCGACGCGAATATGAAGCGACGGGAGCTGCCCTTCGTTTGAGCGATGGACGGCTGGTGATGCAACACTGGTAAAGCAAGGAACAGATCGGGTGGAGTTCTGGCGCCAAGCTGGCATGCAGCTAAGCGGGTGTTCATAGATCGGGGCATTCCAGTTTCAAACCGAGGCCGACGATTGAGAAGGTGCCAGACGAACCCTCCCGAGTCGAGAAGAGTCCAGGCCTGGCCTATGTATGTCATCAAGCATGGAAGGTTGGCGAGGCATCCAATAGTGACGAGTCGCTCGACAGACGGGTCGGACGAATGATATGAGCCCCCGGGCACGACCTTGTCGAAGAGCTGAGATGGTCGGGGATGTGTGATGTGTTGGCGTGGGACACGGTGATTGGCGAGATGGGAGTGATCAGGGTGATGAGGATGTGAGCGTTTCACGCAGGCAGCCTGGTCCAGACAGGTGCATACGCACCACACAAGATTGGCTCTCTCTGAACATGGGAGTGCAACTTGGGTGCCTGTTCGAGCAACTTCCTCCTTGCTGTGCTTCCACGAGCACCGAGTGGTTGTCAGCGAGGCTTTTGCTTGGTTCTCTCGGATTCCATGGTACTTCGTATCCGCATTACTCGTCTCGTACGTCGCAAGAACCGTTGCTCAAATCAAAGGATACGTACCTTGTCGGGTCATCATTGGGCACGCACTTGCTCGAGGGTGCCGTTCGAGTGCATCAGGTCCCGAGCCTTGGTTCTAGTCGAAACCCGTTAGCGCCCCCTTTGTTCACAGGAACCCAGGGGACAGGGACGCTGTAATTCTAGCGGGCTGGCTGTAGTTGCAGTGTGCAGTCAGGGAGTGCCATCGGGTGCTTCCATTGCCCTCCAAGCAGCCGGCGTGGGCGGGGATCTGGGCCCCCCTGCACTAACACCCAAGGTAACCCCCCCCCCCTTCCTCGCCCCTCCTCCTCCCCTTCCTCTTCAGTACGACCAGCTCCAGCACCAGCACCAGCACCAGTCCCGCCTTGTCTCGTCACGCGCACCTTCCGGCCTTCCCTTGCCTTGCCTCAACTTTTTGACGGGACCGCCGTTACCAACCAAACCCGAGAGGGACCCAGGCTGGAACCTGCATTGGCTTGCCTGCTGTCATTTTCCCATCACCTTGCACACCTGATTCCACCTTCACCTCAATCGACGCTGTTCCCCCCAAAGGCTCTGTTTCTTCCAAGCACGACAACCCTCCGAGAGGATACCCACGACTTGACCCCTCCGCCACCTTATTTGACGAACCCTGACCTGCGTACCTTGTTTCCTTGGTACCAGTACTGCTGCCGCCAAGTCACCCCGACTCCCATCCGCCGACGCCGTCGCCTCGACCGTCCGAGGGCAGCCATCCCGCGATCCTTCTTGCTCCTCCGGCCTCTCCAATCCGTTCGCCCAACCTACAACCACCACGCCTAGACGACCGTCGCGACGACATACGACGCCCCAAAACCTCCACCCAGCGATCCCTCATCTCCCCAGTACCGCACGCACATCCTCCCCCACCCTCTCGAGAGACTTGATTCTACTACCCCGCCATCGCAAACCATGGGCAAATCGTAAGGAATCCTCGCGCTGTCTCACGCCCCCCCCCCCTTTCCTGCTA